GCCCGGCCCTCAGTTTCTCCTGCGTTGCCAGACCCCCACCCCCTTCCTGCTACTGCCTTGATTCTGTGGTGCCTCATTGCCGGAGAAGGGGGCTCGTGGCCGTGTGGGGGGGCCAGGACTCAGCTGCCCCCCAGCCCCTGCCCCGGGAGCAGGGGGGCGGCGCTGCTTGGATCCGGGAACAGAGGGAGGGGCCTCTCTAGTTTTCTAAATAAAGCCTTTACATTCCAGCGGTGTGGACCAGTGGACGTGTCCGGGTAGGTCTGGGGAAGCGGGGAGGGAGAAGGGGCGGCTGAGCCCAGGCTGGCCGGGCAACAAAACTCAAAGGATGTTCCGGCAGGTTCTGACGTCTGCTGTGTACGCACTGTTGGCAATTGGAGGGGTGTTGCCTGCTTGGGCAGGAGGAAGAGAAGCACCCCGACCTTCAGAGCAGGGCGTCTCACGCCGTCCCGCGCCGTCCTGCTGGCACTTTTGGGGGAGGAGAAGGGGCGGCTGAGCCCAGGCTGGCCGGGCAACAAAACTCAAAGGATGTTCCGGCAGGTTCTGACGTCTGCTGTGTACGCACTGTTGGCAATTGGAGGGGTGTTGCCTGCTTGGGCAGGAGGAAGAGAAGCACCCCGACCTTCAGAGCAGGGCGTCTCACGCCGTCCCGCGCCGTCCTGCTGGCACTTTTGGGGGAACCGCTGCTCATCTCGCGCCGTCCTGCTGGCACTTTTGGGGGAACCGCTGCTCCTCCCTGCCAGACTACCTTGGTCCTGGAATACAAGCGCAAGCTGTGCCCCCTTCCTTGCCTGGTGCAGCTGGCAGAGGGCTTGCAAACAAGGTCTGTCTTAGGAGCCATGGGTGCAGAGGGAAGTTTCTTGCGAGCAACCCCAACAGGACTGGGGAAAAACACACGGCCAGGTTTGAGGTATGCAGGAGGGCTAGCAAGGGACTGCGGAACGGTAGCATTTTAGCATGCACCCTGGGGGTGGTGTGTTTTGTTGTTGTTGTTTTGGCATGCTGGCCTCTGGCTTGCAGAAATCAGTAGGCCACAGGTGGAATTCCAGATAACATCTGCTGTGGAAGGCGAGTTTTGTCCTACACTTGCAACAGAAAATGTCTAGCATTTAAAAATGTGTTGCTTATAGACAGGTCCCTACTGATTCCAGCACTCCCTGGGCAGTTTACAAGTCAATTATGCAGGCTACACATCGCCCCCACCCCCCAATCCAGCGAGCTGGGAACTCAATTTGCTGACTTTGGAAGGATGGAAGGCCGAGTGAACCTTGAGTCGGCTACCTGGGATTGAACCTGGTTTATGACCAAAGTCTTGGTTGCAGTACAGCAGTTTGACCACTGTGCAGGCTACACATCGCCCCCCACCCCCCCAATCCAGCGAGCTGGGAACTCAGTTTGCTGACTTTGGAAGGATGGAAGGCTGAGTGAACCTTGAGTCGGCTACCTGGGATTGAACCTGGTTTACGACCAGAGTCTTGGTTGCAGTATAGCAGTTTGACCACTGTGCCACGAGGCTCCTAGGGGCAAAGCTGGTGGGTCTGACTGTCACCAGTAAGAAGAATTCTGTAGGTGGGATTAGACTGGAGACTTCTCTGCAGACCAGCTGGTCCTTTGTGACCACAGGAGTCAACCAAGGGCCCCAACCGGAAGACCAGAAAGGGGAATTGTTGAGGATGGGAGCTGTGTGCCAAGACAGGGGGTTGAAAGGCACCCCTTCTCTGCTCAACAGGTGGCACATGAGAGCATTATCTTGGGTGAAGGAAGAGGTTCTAGCTGTCATGGCCAGTAGCTATGAGTCAGCTCTGTGACCTAAGACCTCGTGGCTGTTTGTGACCTTTCTTTGATGGCTGTGCGGACTGAAAAAGCTAACCACTCTTATGAACATGAGTAGCTCTTTATGAATCTTAAGGTGGTGGTGTTTGTTTCAAGTTAATGGTCTCTTCCCATTTTCATTTTGGAAACATTTCATGCAACTTCTCGGGCCATGCTGAAACAGCCTCAGAGGGAACCCGGCTTCTCTCTCCGTCTACCCTCCCAGCCACTGGAGCAGGATTTGAGGCAATTCCCAGGGAAACGAAAGACAAGCTCCAGGCTTACTTACAAGGAGAGACATTTATTGGGTCTTACAACACAAGAGATGGGAACCGGCCACAGCATGGCTCACAGCCAGTGTAAGACGTCCAAAGAACCTTTGGGTGAAACAAGCCATCTTTATCCATTCTTGGTTTTTATACTGATGCTTTGAGGGGTTGATGCAGTGTGTCTTCTACTCCCTGTCCAGCGTCTTGTGTGATAAGCTCAGGTATGCACAGCTGAAGGATAACAGGCGTGTAAGAAGCAACATCTGTTGGCAGCTTCTTTTCTCCCCAAAATGTCATTAATGCAGCTTGTGCGTGTCCTTTGTCCATCCCTCAACCGTGGGAACACTGAAGCAGCTTTAGCGATGCGAAATGGCAGGCAGAAGATTAAAAGGGGAGACGGATCCTTCCTCTAGGGGCCAGGCTCGGCACCGGCTTTCCTTCAGCCGAATCACTGAGCCGGTGGACGGTGGGTCCTCTGTTCCCCTCCAGGCTGGAAGGATCCGTTGCAGAGACTGGCCCGGTGCATCTGAAGTGGGGGCCAGTCCAGACCTCACCAGCACAGCTGGCCTGGGCAGTATTTGTCTACCAGGCTCTGGTAATAGGGCTTCAGCTCCTTCGGGTCGGGTAGGTCTTCACCCTTGGTGTAAAGGTCAAACTTGCTGCGAGGGAGGGAGAAGGGAAATCAGGATCTGGTGTGATCCCTCGGAATCCACCTGCCAAGTTTTGGTCTCCAAGGAAGGCGTGGGAAAGTCGGAACGGAGGAGCTGATGGGCCAGAAATTGATTGGGAGCCTCTTTTACAGAGTTTCCCGACACTAGGACCTGTTTCACCCAATGCGGAGTGTCCGGGCAGGCTTTGTTGGATGTGCGCTCCTGACTCGCCCGACGTGGTTTACAGGGGGGCCATTCAGCAGGGGAACCCCAGGGGCCAGACCAGACAATAAATCCCAGAGGCCCTTCAGATGGAGACAGGGCTGGGAAAGTGAGGTGACAGGGATCTGAACTGCGGAGGGCTGCTTTTGTAGTGGGGCTTGGCTTGAATGGAATTCGGGATTTGGGATGGGCCTGGGAAGCTCAGTGGCTGAACTGGCTCAGGGCCAGATTTGGGTGGAGGGGCAGGGGGGCATTACTGGAGACAAACGTCCCTTCTAAAGAAAGAGGCTGCACCAGGAAGTTGCATTCCCAGTGGGCGAGGTGTTCCCCTCTGGCTTTCCTTCTTGGGAAACCAAATACTGTGATGCCTCACTAGACGATGATAATCCGTTTCACTGAAATCGCTGTTTAGCGAAATCATTGTCTAGCGAAAAGCATTTCCCCATTGGAATGCATTGAAACCTGTTTAATGCGTTCCAATGGGGAAGAATCGTCGTTGTCTAGCGAAGATCGGCCATAGGAAAGCCGCTTAGCGAACCGCCGATCAGCTGTTTAAATCGCTGTCTTGCGAAGCTTAGGTCCCAAAAACACCCATTTTGCGAGCACGGAGGGAGCTGTAAAACTTGTCGTCTAGCGAAAATCGCTTTGCAAAGCAAGGACCAAACATTGTCCAGCGAAATTCCCGCATAGGAATCACTGTTTTGTGAATCGCTATAGCGATAGCTGAAAAGCCAATGTCTAGCGGGGTAACTGTCCAGCAAGGCACCACTGTAACTGTACGGACAGCTTTAACCTAGGCCTGAGAAATTCCTGTCATCGTCTTGGCTTCCACTGGAACGTGTCAAATATGAGGAAGCTTAGCATGGGAGGAGGTGCCTGTGTCGCATGAACCCACAAGCCGAGACGGGGGAAGCGGATAACAGTATGCAAGAAATAAAATGCAAGCCAGCGACCATAGTGATTTCTGATTTTTGAAAGGGAACACTAGAAACAAAATTCTTTGCTCGGGAAATTTAAAAATGCCCCTTGGCAACACCATCTTTGCACCAGCTAGCCGTTCATGTGTCACTTCCAGGGTGTCCCATCATTGTGAATTGCAACGGCCCCTTGCCACCGCTTGGCACCCCCCCAAAAAACCCATCGTTCTCTCCCTGTCCATCTTTTCCCCCCAAGAAGGGTCAGGAAGGGAACTGCTTACTTGAACTCTTTCACCCACGGAAGCATCTTGAGGTCTTCCTCCGAGCAGAGGTGCATGTAGTCCCCACCGGTGTGCCACGGATAAAAGGAGTGGAACCGAATCACATAGTAAGCCTGCAAGGAAAGAAGCTGGGGGGAGTGGGGTGGCCAGCCATGGAGGGGGGATTTCCTTGCCTGCCTCCCTCTCTCCTGGCTGTCCTTTCCCGGGATTCTCCCCACGGCTCTGTCCTCTCCTGGAGGTCTCCTGCATCCTGAGGCACTTCCCAGGACCGACTCTAGAGTCAGGCACAGTGAAGCAGTGGCCACAGGCATGAAAGGGAGCAGGTATGCCCCAAAGGGGTTTGGCACCAGGCTCCCTCTCTGGAGTTTTAAGAACTGTTCACACCACCCAAGCTTTACAGTCGTCCTTCCCCCCCACCCGATAGCTCAGTGATTTAGATCAGACGTTGGGAGTTCGATTCCCCCACTTGGTGCCTCCATGACAGAGGCTGGACTGGATGATTCAGAGGGGTCCCTTCCAGCCCTGTCGTTCTAAGAGGAGGATGAAAGGAGAAAAGCAACCATGGTAAAATTAAAGGGGGGGGGGAAACCCCACATACAAAACCTAGCATCTTAAATGAGTAGACCCTTGGTCTAGATGGGTGGGATAGAAATCCAACAAAAAAAATTGCAAGCATGACATTTAAAAATAAATTTTTAAAAGGCCAAGCTGAAAACGGCACAATCTGGTGTGTGTCCCGCCTCCCGCCCACCTTTTCACACTATACCCTCCCCGAATTTTGAGGATCCGTTAAGATAACTGTGGGTTGAGAAAGGACAGGGGTTAGGGTGCTTAATCTGTTTCCTGGCCAAAATCCTGCTGAGCAGTTATACCAACAGAAGGAAACTGTTGTCACGTTCAGTGCCAAATGGCCACGAAAAACAGGTTCCTGCTGGGATTCTGGGTCGTGGGCCCGTTGGGTGGCTTGGCAGACGATCAGAAGATCAAGGAAGGGCTTGGTAACCACAGAGGACTGACAGCCACTCTGAGGGGACTTTCAAGGTAAGTGAGATATTGAAGGAGTGCTTTTTTTTTAACCGGTTCTACTCCCCGAGTGAGTTTCCAGGGCAGAGCCACGGAATCGAACCCTGCTCTCCAGAGTCCTAGTCTGTCACTCTGTCCAGTTCACCACACCGGGTACCCAAAAATGCTGTGGGTTGTGTCATTTTCCTTCCAGTGTGCAACCACATATGTGCCATTGTATTTCCTCTGCCAGGGAGAGGGAAGGAGGGGGTCCTGTGGGGTGAGGTGGGGCGGGAGAGGTTTCTTCCTCAGGTGCCGAAAGAGCGGGGTCAGCACTTGAGCAGGATGTACCCCAACTCTTGACGGGGAGGGATGCCTTTGGCTGCTTGGTGTCAGGAGCCAAAATATTTGAGCTCAGCCCGGCTGTTTCCTTCTGGTGTCTCTAGTCAGTCTAACAGACTCTCTCTGGCTCCATCACCACCTCAGATTCAAAAGGCGGCATTGGGTGGGGGACACAACCCATACCTTCCCACTCCCCACCCCCAGACTTTTCAGCATGAAAGTGTGTCAAGGGGGAACTCATTGCTGGCTTGTGCTCTTCTCTCAGCCACAAAGCTGACAGAGGGCTGGTTTCAGACCAAACGGGGCTACTTGAGAATAGAGATGGTCACGAACCTGAAAAGGGGCAGTTCATGACAGTTCGCGGTCAGTCACGAACCACAAGCCATCATGGAAAACCGAACCAGGAGAAGAAGTGTGGTGCTTCGTTTTGTTTCAGCAAAACAGGAGCCCTGAACTGGATTGCGAACCAAACCACAAACCAGCCGGATTCGTTGGTTTGTCGTTCGGTTCGTGCCCAGCTGTACGGGACAACTTTGTGCCGTTTGGATCCAAAGATGGGCCCCAATGGCGTATTGGACCTCCTGATGACCCTGTTTAGCTGGATCTAGCCCATTCCAAGGAAGTAAATGCAGTCAGAAAATGCAGGACGCCTTCCAGTGTTCCTGTGCGAACACACACGACCGCACCAAATTTTGGGAGCTGAGCAGCGCAAGAACTTCGGAAGAGGAGGATGGGAGAGTGTCCCCCTCCCCAGGAAAAAGAGGGTTCTCCAGGCTGGGTGAGGGGAGAAAGAACCCCACCCTCTCATTTTGTTTTTAACCAGGGACTGGAAGGAGGGCACCTTGGAGCAGCCACAATTCTGGGCTTCTCCCCAAACTGTGGGGTTCACTCACCTCTTCAGGGAGAGCAAACTTATTGTGCCTCATCACTTTGTACATGTATTCTGGAAAGTAGAGTGGGAAAAAAATAGAAACACATGAGTCACAGGCTCCTGAAAAATGGGGTGACATCCAGAAATCCCAGGACACCTCAAAAGCCATTTTGGAACCGAACCCCCCCCCCAAGAGCAGAACCTGTGAGCTTTACTCCTTTGGGTGATCAGCACAGCAGCTAGCCTTTTGGCCGGACCTTTCTGGGGGCTGTCACCCCAGAATTAACTTTTTCCCAGGTTTGCACATTTCTGTGGGCTTTCTTTGCTTAGCAGAAAGAAGGGGACACCTACAATGAAGCAACTGGATTTTGAACAGGACAATAGAAAAATCTGAGCCAACATCACAGCCTGTAATATTTCTGATTTCTAATGCCCTCTCTTGGCATCCACAAGCCAACTCTGACTCTCGATAAAGGACCTCTAAGGGTGGAGCAAGAGACCATGTTATGTATTCTTGTTGCTGAAAAATACCTAGCATTGTGTCTGGCTCCCCTAGTGACCGGTTCTGGTAATACATAGCCTAATGCCCTCTCTTGGCACCCACGAGCCAACTCTTGACTCTCGATAAAGGACCTCTAAGCACGGATGCTGTGTTGCAGCCAAACTGGCCTCTCGGGGTCTTGCTTCCCTCTCCCCCACAATAATGTTTGGATCTTGAATTATCATCTCTGACTTCCTGGACTTCTCTGTTTCTCATGATGCGTCATCAGTATTATATCTTTCCTTGTACAGTAGGACTCCCCCACCCCATATCCATGGACTATCTATGATCTAACTTATCCACAGTCTAAAAATATTAAAAGAAAAAACCTATCAACGTATTTTCACAGTGTATTTACCAGAACTGGTCACAGGGGGGAGCAAGAGACCATGTTATGGATTCTTGTTTAAAAATACCTTGCATTGTGTCTGGCTCCCCCTAGTGACCGGTTCTGGTAATACATAGGGAGAACATGAGGGTTTTTTATTTTTTTATTTTACCTTGCTATGTACAGTGTTCACTATTATCAGTGATTTTCAGATCTGGATGGGAGCTTGGTACCAATCCCCTGTGGATGTGGGGTGGGGGTTCCTACTGTAATTCATTTGCCTTAAACCTTCTTTGCTGGTCGGTCTCTTGATTCGGCTTTGGGTAAACATTTCCAATATGGATTTACAAGGAATGTCATTTTAGATCTGTCAAAGCACAGTCTAGGTGAGGGGAAAACACATTGGTCTTTCCCAAGAGATTTTTCCACTCTGGCCCTGGGTGCAATTTTGGGGAAGCTTACCGTCATGGCCCCATGACATCAGGATGTGCTCCAAGCCGCAGTTGGGCCGGTAGATCCCATACTTGGTGCTGGAATGAAGCAAAAGAGAAGGTGTTTCAATGTCCCTGCTCAAGACGTGAGCTCAGATTCTTTTTTCTGACTTGGATTGAGGTGGCTTTAGCCAGAAGCAAGAGAAATGGAGCAGCTTGGATTGTGTTTGCTGCTGTGAAGAAGGCCATGGGGCCTAGAGGGAGAGGATGATGAGCTCAGAAGGCCTGGAAGTGTGTAGGATAGGGCTGCAACATCAGGAACATCTGCCACTGGAGTCCATCTTGGGAAGAACCAAGATCTCAGAGGGAGAGCTGCTTGAAAGACAGACTAAGGAAGCAGTCCCTCTCTGGATCTAACTCCGTCCCTCTTTGAGAACTGGGTTGGGGTACAAATGGGAATTCTGGGGTTTGAAGTCCATAGCATGAACTTCTCCAACCTCTTGGCTCTGCTCTCTTGTTGATTTCTTCTGTGTTTGAAAAAGAAACATCCCGCCTAGGACTGAACCCTTCTTCCTGCCCGTCCTGTGACAACCAAAGCAGCAACAGCAGCAAGAACAGAACCAGGGTGCAAGGCAGAGCTTACTTGTACAAGGGGTTCTTCACGTCAGGATTGTTGTGGAAAGTGGAGTCCCAAAAGACAACTGACGGCTGGACCTTGCAGCTCACTGGAAAAGTGTCTCCAACCACAGCCCACTGTAGGGAGAGGGGGAGACACACAACCCTAGGTCAATAAGCACTCCTGTCGGTTGCTCTCTGCTCAGCGGTACAGGAAGGGCCCCTACATCCATGGGGAATTGGTTCCAAGCCCCTGCAATGGATGCTGAAAACCACGGATAATAGCTAGTGCTTTACATAGCACGGTAAAAGAAAAGGAAAAAAAATCTGAAAATACATGTTTTCACCATGTATTACCAGAACTGGCCACTAGATGATGCTTGAGACTATGCCAGGGATTCTTCAACCACAAGAATACAGTAAATAGCACAGTCTCTGACTCCCTCTAGTATGCTTGAGACTATGCCAGAGATTCTTCAACCACAAGAATAAATAGCACAGTCTCTGACTCCCTCTAGTGACCAGTCCTAGTAAATGTATCATGAAAATACATATCTCTAGTTGTTTTCATTTTCATTTTTTTAGACTGTGGATAAGTGAAACCACGGATACTAAAATGTATCATGAAAATACGTGTATTTCTAGTTGTTTTCTTTTTAATATTTTTACACTGTGGATAAGTGAAACCACGGATACTGATCCCGCAGATACGGGGTCCTACTGTAATCTTGTACCAGCTGGAACACCCTAGTCCTGCCTGAATTTGGCTGATAAGCAGGGCCAGGCCTGATTATCATTTTAATGAGTGGGTCTCAAGGATCTCCAGGTATGACTAAGAAGCTTAAGACAACCACAGGCCATCAGTCGGAGACGACAATACAGGTCTAGAAGGGCTCAAGTTTCTGACTCTGGATTAAGGCACTTCCTAGGTTTCAAATTAACTGGCTGTAATCCACTAGGTTGCAGGCAGGACTAGGTGCTATTTAATATTGTGTTTATTTTTATTCATTGATATTTAGAGCTTGGCTAAGCTGGTCAGCAAGGGGACGGGGTGGGCTCCGTCTCAATCCCATATCTCCAGCCTCATGGCGTTGGAATGGAGGGTGCCACCTGGTACAGGAGCATCTCTGGAAAGGTCAGAACTTCCCACCCATGTCCTCACCTGTGGCTCGCCAGCCAGTGCCAAGATTTTCCCAATGTCATGAATCAGTCCAACCAGGTGGAACCAATCTGAAGCGAAAAGAAAAGAGGTGTGGGATTTTTAGGACTCCAAATGTAAGGATCCAGCACTGGAGAAGCTCAGTTTTCACCCCACCCATGTAGGGACTTTGAGTTTAGGCTATAAGGAATAGGGATCCAGATGAGTCCCCTGATCCGATTCGGAGACCAAGTCGGTGTTTCAGGATGCATCTGAATTTGGGACAAAGTGACTTGGGCTCCACCCGGGTTCCGTTCATGTCCCAGATCTGAACTGACTTGCACATTTCCTTCGGGAGGGAGGGGGTGACCAGAGACTCACCTTTGTCAGGATGAGCCTTCCGGATGCCCTCAGCCGTCTGGTACGCATGATAGGAGTTGGGGACATCAATGTCTGGGTCTGACTCGTCCACTACGTTGTCCAGAAGGTCCAGGGCCTCCATGATGGTCATCTGGTGGCGATTGCACCCCCCATACTCCTCGTTCTAGAGAGAATGGGGATGGAGGAGGATATGAGTGATGCTCTGTGGGATCAATTTTTTTATATCCAGCATGTATGGCATGGCGTGTTGTGTTGTGTCTTGTGTGTGTGTGTCCAGCCTCCCTTTATTTATACGTCTCCCAGTTGTTTACATTTCCCTTCAATCTGTAAACCACCAACTTTTGCCAGGCCTGTAATTTACAGAGGCTTGATTCACAATGAATGGAAAAATTTATAATAGAAATTGCTATTGCTTTTACAGCTCCTGTAAATACCATCCCTGTCAATCAAACTGCTGCCATGAGGACAAGCATTATTATTTTACCTGACGTGTCCTCGGTCCGCAGGTTACCTTGGGTGTAAGCTACAGGGCCTCGTAAGATAAGGTAGAGCAAATCACCAGATCCGCAGAATATGATGGGCCTCAACGGCTGGTGGGCCAACTGGCTGAGGGGCCAAAGCTGTTTGTTCATTTCTAGTCTCAATTTTCAGGCAGAGCGATGTTGTTGCCTTGTGACCTTGCTTCCAGATTTGGCTGGAGAGGATCGCTTGGCCATGACTTTTAGGAAACGTCAGGCTTTGTTTTTAAAGCACAATGAACATTTTCAGGACTCCTTTATATATACAGTATATATCCCCCCTTTAATTCTTTTGACACTCCATCTATTCAAAATTTTCGCATCTTGACATTTTGTTCCTCAAGAATGAAAACTTATGGAACAAGGCAAAGCCAGAGAGAAAGGATGGAGGCTGGCCACGACGAGTGGGCTGTGCTGAGGCTTTCCTCCATGCCAGGGAATCGGTTAAGCTAATTTTTAGTTCTCTCCC